TGCCCAAAAGAGAAAGGATTTGTGTAATTGGCTTTGCATAGGGCTTGAGAAAAGAGCCTGGCAAGATGCCCAGAAGAGAAAGGACTTGTGTAATTGGCTTTGCATGGGCTTGAGAAAAGGGGCCTGGCAAGATGCTCGAAAGAGAAAGGACTTGTGTAATTGGCTTTGCATGAGTTTGAGAAATGGCCTGGCGAGATGTTCGGAAGAGAAAAGGCTTGTGTAATTGGTTTTGCATGGGTTGAGAAAGGGGTCCGGCAAGATGCCCAGAAGAGAGATGCATATGAAATGGACCAAGTAATGCGCATGTGAATAAAATTAAGACAGATGCAAGAAAGGGTGAGAAAAGAAAAGGGATGCATGTGAAATTAGCAGGACTAGAGAAAGGTCGGACGAAATAGCCTGGGAGGAATACATGTGAGTTCGGCTTGAGGAAAGAATGACGGAAAGCATGGATTGCATGGGTCGAAGGACCCGAATAGAAGAGGCATTGAAAATGATGGAAAACATGGATTGCACGGGCCGAAGGAACCGAATAAAAGAGGCATTGAAAATGATGGAAAGCATGGATTGCACAGGCCGAAGGACCCGAATCGAAGAGACACTGAAAATGATGGAAAGCATGGATTGCACGAGCCGAAGAACCCGAATAGAAGAGGCATTGAAAATGGCGAAAAACATGGATTGCATGGGCTGAAGGACCCAAATAGAAGACGCATTGAGAAGGACGGAAAACATGGATTGCACGGGCCGAAGGACCCAAACGAAAGAGGCATTGAGAATGACAGTGTCGGGGCAAATACCCTGACAAGGGTATTTGCCGGGGTTTTTCAACTGCTGTCGGGGCAAATACCCGGGGTTTTTCAACGTCGGACACTGTCCGACTTTTTCGTTGAATTGAAGGACTTGATGAGGTCGACGCTTGCTGAAAGTTTATTCAGACCTAGCCTTTGATCGAAAAACTAAAACTTTTAGAACCCTAGTCCGGACATCTGCAGCATATGAGAATAATGGCAGTAATCGACTATGCTTCGCTTTTGTTGAAGCCGCAGAGGCGTGCAGACATGGGAACGTTGAAGTTAGACTGATTCTACCTAAATTAATGTCGCACGGCTGCTAAGCCGCGCGATTCAGGGTCTAAGTAGGCTGAAAAGAGGAGCGTGTCGGGTTTGGGGCCACGGCGCGGGAGGAATAGGAAGTCTTTTTTATTTTTTGGGGCCTTGTGGATTGACCTCGGGCAAGGGGAGACC